CCCCAGTTCACTCCTCTCTTTGAAAAGTAAAAGAAAAATTCTTTCATTGGTATACAATCCCCCCACACCTCAGCCCTGAGTACACTCCACTATGCAACCTTCCTTCTGGGCTCTTGTGATAACCTTAATACCTTCTCTTATATCGCTTTTAAATTTTTCTCTCCCTCATCTGTTTCAATGCAGTATACATAATTTATCCACTTTTTCTCAGTCTCACCCCAACGCTGATGTCAGTCCCCTTCTACAACAGTGGCACCATGCAGTATTTGACCTTTTGTGACTGAGATATGTCACTCAGCATAATGTCCTCCAGGCTCACCCATTTTGAATAATATTTCATGAGTTCCTTGTTTTTCAATGCAGCGTAGTATTGCATTGTGTGAATATACTACCATAGCTTCTCTATCCATTCATTTGTTGATGGGCCCTTGGGTTGTTTCCAATTCCTTGCTATTGTGAGCAAAGCTGTGATAAACATGGGTGTGCATTTTATTAATTTTCATTTTTTTTGTGTGTCCCATCAAATCAGATCTGACTGGTACAGGAGGAGATTGTCCCTCCTTCTCCAGCCGAGCATCTGGTGGATTTGAACCGTGTGCCTCTGGCATTGCAGTGTAGCTTCTTGCCACTAGGCTACCAGAGCTTTCTGTAAATGTTACTATTTGTGTGGGTGTGTGTACCATCAAATCAGGTCTGACTGATACAGGAAGAGATTGCCCCTCCTTCTCCAGCAGAGCTTCTGGTGGATTCGAACCACCATCTCTGAGATTACAGTGCAGCTTCTTGCCACTAGGCCACCAGAGCGCCTTTCCTTGTACTTTTTGGGCAAAGCCAATTGCTCATTTCAGTGTCTTTGCTTGGACTTGCCCCTGCATTTACAGCTTCCACCGCCAGTCGGCGCTCCCCAACCCCAGTCACGTCTCTCAACGTGTCTCTCCCTCCAGGTCAGCGACTGGTGGGAAGAATTCGTGTATCTGCGCTCTCGAAACTCGCTGATGGTGAACAGCAACTACTATATGATGGTGAGAAGCGAGTGGGGGCTGCAGAAGGGAGAATGGGGCTCATGTCAGCGTCCCAGGCCTTGAATCTGGGGTTCTGGGCAGAACATGGAGTTTACTTCTGTTGTTGTTGTTATTTGATGCTCTCCAGTTCTGTTCGACTCATAGCGCCCCTATGAACCACAGATCTGAGCCTTGTCCTGACGCACTAGAGCCCATAGCAGCAGTCACAGTGTCAATCCACCTGTCTGAGGGTCTTCCTCTCCTTTGCCCACCTTCAACCCCTGTACGCATCATGTCCCTCTCCGAGGAAGAGCCCTTTCTAGCAATATGTCAGAAGTATGTCAAGCCACCCTTCATCATCTTTGTCTCTAAGAGCACTCCGGCTAGGGGGCTCTGGTGGCCTAGTGGCAAGAAGCTGCACTGCAATCTCAGAGATGTGCGGTTCGAATCCACCAGATGCTCTGCTGGAGAAGGAGAGACAATCTCCTCCTGTACCAGTCAGATCCAATTTGATGGCACACACTCAAAATAATAATACAATTTTTTTAAAAATGAGCACTCCAGCTGTGCATTTGTTTGTTTGTTCATGTGATGTTCATTTCTCTTCTCCAACACCACAGCTCAAAGGTATCAATTCTTTTTCTGTCGTCCCTATTCATTGTCCAGCCCTCAGAAAGATGCCTGAATCAGACTGATGCACCTTAGTCCTCAAACTGACATCATTACTCAGTGATTAGGAGAGGACCCTACCTGCAGACTTTCCCAGTGCACTGCGTTTCTTTATTTCCTGACTGCTGGTACCACGGGTGTTCACTGTGGATAGTGAACTGAATCTGGGAAGCAGGGGGCCACCCTGACCCCCAGTGTGTCCTCTGTGGCCCCCCAGGACTTCCTGTACGTGACGCCCACGCCGCTGCAGGCCGCCCGCGCCGGGAACGCTGTCCACGCGCTGCTGTTGTACCGCCACCGCCTGTGCCGCCAGGAGATCCCGCCGGTGAGTGGGGTTCTAGGGGGGCGTGGGGGGGGCTGGGGTGGAGCCTCGCGGGCTGGGAAGCAGCTCACCAGCCCAGGCCTCCGCCTGCAGACTTTGCTGATGGAGATGCGCCCTTTGTGCTCGGCTCAGTTTGAGAAGATCTTCAACACCACCCGTGTTCCTGGGGTCCAAAAAGGTGGGTGCTCCTTCCTCTGACTCCCCTTGCCCCCACAAAGTCTTGTTTCCTCATTGGGAAAAAAGGGACAGGCCTTCTGCTCACCCAACCCAACCCGCAGTGTGCGTGGATGCCCATTCAGAGGGTTTGCGAGGCTGGAGATCTTTCCAGGAGGAGTCTGCCCAAGTTCTGTCCCATAGAGAGACTGGGGGATTCAAACTGGTGACCTCTCTGTTAGCTCCTGAATCACTCTGCTCCCTGGGTTCAAATCCCAGCTCCGTCACTTTCCTAGCTGTGTGCCCTGGAATAAATAATCCCCTTCTCGGAGCCTCAGGTTTTCTCCTCTCTACAACGAAAAAGATGTTCCTAGGGGAGCTCTGGTGGCCTAGTGGCAAGAAGCTCCACTGCAATCCCAGAGGTATGTGGTTCAAATCCACCAGATGCTCTGCCGGAAAAGGAGGGGCAATCTCCTCCTGTACCTGTCAGATCTGATTTGACGGTACAGACACACACAAAATAATAAAAATTTTAAAAATTTATAAAAAAGGAAAAGGTGTTCCTGAGTGACAGCAGTTGTGACACGCTTAGCTACTGACTAAAAGGTTGGCTGTTCAAATCCACCCAGAGGCACCTCAGCAGACAGGCCTAAAAAGCAGCCATTGAAAGTCCCATGGTGCATTCTGCTCTGACATATGTGGTCACCAGGAGCCAGACTCAAGTCTGGGGCAATCCCCCCCCAAGTTGTGAAAATATGATTAGTTAACAGGCAATAGCAATTCAACATTTGCCACTTACCCAATTCCGTGAATCTTTAAAAAAAATATTATTTTTGGGTGTGTGCGTACCGTCAAATTGGATCTGACTGGTACAGGAAGAAATTGCCCCTCCTTTTCCAGCAAAGCATCTAGTGGATTCGAACCACACACCTCTGGGATTTCAGTGCAGCTTCTTGCCACTAGGCCACCAGACCTCCCTAATTCCTGAATTTTTTTGTCTTGTGCAATCTTCATCCATATCCATTGCCACCTTTCCCAACACCATAAACAGCAACTCCGTGCTGTTATGATAGTTTCCTTCCCCTCTTTCCCTCTTGCTCCTGTTTTCTGGCTTTTCTCTCCCTCCCCTCACCCCCAATGTTGTGTACCATCGAATTATATCCGACTGGCACAGGAGGAGATTGCCTTTCCTTCTCCAGCGAAGCATCTAGTGGATTTGAACCGCACGCCTTCTGGATTGCAGCACAGCTTCTTGCCACTAGACCACCAAGAGCTCCCTCTGTTTCTGGCTTCCAGGGGCCCTGATCACCTCTGACTTCTAGGCAGTTGCCCATTCCAAATGTTTCTCAGCTGATTTTTCCCATGAAATAATTATAGTCCATAGAGAGATAAGGCACTCACTTCCCTGGAGGATTTACAGCCCGAGGCGGAAGCAATTGCAGGGGGAGTGAATGGTTGGTAGAGATTCTGGGTTTGTTAGTAACGTCCACTGCAATCCCAGAGATATGTGGTTCGAATCCACCAGATGCTCTGTCGAAAAAGGAGGGGCAATCTCCTCCTGTACCTGTCAGATCTGATTTGACGGTACACACACAAAAAATTTAAAAAAAAAAGAATGAATCTTTGCAAGAGGTCCTTGTGCATCTAACTTACTGAGACCCTGTAGGGTGGAGCAGAACTGACCCTTAAGGTTTCCAAGGCTGGAAGTCTTTTTTGTTGTTGTTAAGCTTCTTCTTTCTTTTTTTTTTTTAAATTTTATTATTATTTGTGTGTGTGTGTGTGTGTGTATGTGTGTGTGTGTGTGTATACAGTCAAATTGCATCTGACTCAATGTATTCTAACTTTGTAAATAAATCAGTATAAAATAAAAAAAATTGCATCTGACTGATCGGGAGGAGATTGCCCCTCCTTCTCCAGCACAGCATCTGGTGGAAGGCTGGAAGAAGTCTTTCCCAGGGAGCCACGTGCAATCACAAAGGCATGCCTGCCTTCCAAATCCACCAGATGCTCCGTGGGAGAAGATGGCCAGTCTTCTCCCTTGACATTTACAACCTCTGCAGACCGCTCGAAGGTCAGCTGTGGGTTAGTTCCACCTCGAAGGGACGCACAATAACCAATCTTTACCAGAGCGGAATGCCTTGTCTTTTACCCCACGAAGCAGCTGGAGGGATATTTAATTAACTTAATGCTCACCCACTGTGCCACCAGGACTTCTTCGCATGGGACTCAAATCAAATCGACTGTCCTTTGAGTCACTTCTGATTCGTGCTGACCCCTCCATTGGCTGTAAACCGTGTGTGTGTGTGTGTGTACTGTCCAATCGGATCTGACTGGTACAGGAGGAGATTGCCCCTCCTTCTCCAGCAGAGCACCTGGTGGATTTGAACTGTGAACCTCTGGGATTGCAGTGGCTGTAAATCTTCAGGTTGGTAGTACAACACGTAAGGGGCCACCAGATCCTCTTCTTCAGAAAAGAAGTTCAATAATGAATGTCTGTAGGAGCCCCAGGGGTGTAGTGTGTTCCATGCTGGGCGAGCAGTTCGAATCCACCAGATGCTCTGAGGAAGGAAATGGTCAGTCATGAAGAAAGCGCACGGAGGGTCCCAGTGGGTCACTCTCACTCCATGTGGGTTTGGGTTAATTATTCTCATGTTTGTGGTGGCTCTGCGGTTCCCCTCGACGTGTCCACCCACGTCCCTCCCTGCAGACCACATCCGCCACCTCCGTGACAGCCGACACGTGGCCGTCTTCCACCGGGGCCGCTTCTTCCGCGTGGGAACGCACTCTCGCAATGGCCTGCTGTCCCCGAGGGCCCTGGAGCAGCAGTTCCAGCGGATCCTGGACGACCCCTCCCCGGCCTGCCCCCACGAGGAGCATCTGGCGGCCCTGACCACAGCGCCCAGGTGAGGCCCCGAGCCCAGTGGACATCCCGGCTGTAGAGGGGTACATTGGGGGAGCGGGCAGGTGAAGCCAGGCGAGGGCCAGGCTGGACTCAGGCAGGTCCCCAACAGGGGCACGTGGGCCCAGCTCCGGCGATCGGTGAAGACGCGGGCTGCCGAGGCCCTGGAGGCCGTGGAAGGCGCTGCTTTCTTTGTATCCCTGGACTCCCAGCCCGCGGGGCTCATGAAGGAGGACCCCGCGGCTTCGTTGGACGCCTACGCTCATGCCCTGCTGGCCGGTCAGGGTCATGACCGGTGAGCCCCCCATCCCGGTGCCATGGGCCCCACTCAGACCTGGGAATCCCCGGCACCTGCAATGCTAGGACCCTAATCCCCAAGACTTGGCACTTGGGGCCCCCAGATTTGGGGTCTTCTGCTTGGGTGCCCCTGGACCTGATACCCCAAACTCATAACTCAGACTTTGGACCCCAGACTCAGAAATCTCAGACAGAGGATAAGAAACGTCCTTAGCACAGACCAAGCACCTTCAGAATCGGAGAGTTTCTAGATCTGGGACCCCAGAACCACAACCTCATCTCAGGAACCCCAGATTTGGGGACCACCAGACTTGGGACTCCACATCCATCACAGCAGCTCAAGATGAGGACCCAGTCTATATGCAAACTAGTAAGAAACCCCAGGCCCACTTCCAAGTTGCTTCTGACCCCTCAGGTCAGAATGATGATGATGATGGTGAGATGATGGTGGATCCCAATTACTGGCCTTTCGGTTAACAGCCTGACAACACGACTCCCCCAGGGCTTCTAATCCAGGTGGAAGCACTAAGAAATGCTAAATCCAGGAACTCTGGGTATCAGAGAACCCTTAGACTTCACATCCCTCTATTAAGGACCTCAGACTTAGTTATAGACCACTCAGTCCCTGGACATCAATGCAGGCATTCCCAGGCCCTAACTCCAAGCAGTTGTTGTTATGTGCCATCAAGTTGCTTGGGACTCATAGCGACCCTGTGTACAATAGCCTTGAAACCTGCTCTATCCTGTGCCGACCTTACTGTCTCCGACACACCTACCCTCATTACCCCAGTCACTGAATCAATTATCTCATCGAGGGCCTCGCCTCCCTCTCTTTCTCCGTCCCTCCACTCATCCAAGCATGATGTCCCTCTGCAAGGACCAGTCCCTCCTTGCAACACACCCAAAGTATGTCAGATGGAGCCTCAGAATGCTTGCCTCCAAGGAGCAGCCTCGTTTCACCCTCTGCAGGACGAACCTGTTTGTTCTCCTAGCAGTCCATGGTATATTGACTACTCTTCTCCAGCACTATAGCTCAAAGGCGTCAATTCTCCTTCTATCATCCCTAGTCATTGTCCAGCTCTCTGATGCATAGCAAGCAATTGTGAAGACTATGGCCCGGATCAGGCGCACCTTAGTCTCCAGGCTGATGTCATTGCTTTTCAGTATTCTGGAGAGGTCCAAGCTAAAGTACCTCAAATCCAGGACCTCAGGCCTGGAACCACCCTCCATAAACTTAGAGACCTTCAGAGAGCATGTCAAATGTTCCCCAGACATCCTCTGCTCTCCTGGGTTCCCAGGGAAGTTTCTCTAACCTTCTAGAATCCTCAGCAGAGCCAAGGCCATCCTTGACCCTTCTTCATCAAGTTCCCAAATAAACCCAAATCCTGGGCACCTCTCAGAGACCTTTTAGAATCAATGTCCAGAGGCCCCCCAAATCTTCTAGAGATACTCGTACAGTGACCCCAAAACCCCCCAAGTTCCACCCTCCAGGAGCCTTGGTGAGCCCTCTGAACTCTCCTCTCCTCCACAGCTGGTTTGACAAATCCTTCACCTTAATTGTCTTCTCCAACGGGAAGCTGGGCCTCAGCGTGGAGCACTCGTGGGCTGACTGCCCCGTCTCAGGACACATGTGGGAGGTAGGGAATCCCTTCCCTGATTCTCAAAGACCTTCCTTTCCAGGCCTTTAGGATCAGAGGAGAAAGTGAAGCAGAGAGAGAGAGAGAGAGAGGAGATCCAGGATCACTTAGCAAAGAAGGCGGTCTGGGGTGATGACCTTCATATATGATTATATGATGCTGGGGAAAATTAGGGCTCAGAGAGGGAAAGGGATGTGTGAAGAGTCACCCTTGCAACTTTCTTTTTTTAAAAAAATAATATTTGATGAATTTCAAACGGGTTTAAATTATTTTTTTTTTGTCAAACATTCTTCTAAGTGGTATAGCACTGGTCTCTGCATTGCTATACAAAGATAACTCGTGGTTGCTGTGATGCTAAACACTTTGACAGTCATGTGTCAAATGTAATAATGGTCACCCATGGAGGACAGTGTTCAGTGGGGCTCCTCGATTAAAACAAGCTTGGAAGCAGGAGTGGCATCCACTTCCATAATAGCTTGCTTCCGGAAACTCTATTAATAGTGCTCAGGTCTTTCGTTCATAGGGTCGCTATGAGTCATCTATGACTTGACAGCACTTAACAACAACGACAACAACATTGGATGAGATGGATTGATTGATTCAGTGACTGGGGTAATGAGGGTAAGGGTGTCAGAGACAATAAGGTTGACACAGGCTAGAGCAGGTTTCAGGGCTGTTATACATAGGGTCGCTAAGAGTCGCAAGTGACTCGATGGTACGTAACAGCAACAATAGCATTTGATGGTATTTTTGTTGAAAGTTTGCACAGTCAATTAGGTTCCCATTTGACAGTTTCTGTAAAAATTGGTCGGAGATGTGTTACAGTTTTCTCATCAAGTCACCATTCCCTTTAATTGTGTCTGGTTGTTCTGTTATCTTGATAGTTTTCTGTGGGGGGGAAATACAATGCTGCTAGCTTGTGTGTGTGTGTGTGTGTGTGTGTGTGTGGTGTGTAATTCTAGTAAAATATACATAACAAAGTATCATCTTAACCTTTTTTATGTGTATAATTCAGTGACTTTAATTATTATGTTGTGTAACCACTATCTTATTAATGACTATGTTGTGAAATCATCATTTTTTATTACGTCATGTAACCCACTTCTTATTAGTTATTACGTCGTGTGACCAAACTGTCTGTTTCCAAGTATTTTCATCAATGAGACCAGTCCTTGGAGAAGGACATCATGCTCGGAAGGGAGGAGGGACAGAGCAGGAGAGGAAGACCCCAGATGGGATGGACTGATGCAGTATCTGGGGCAGTGGGGGTTGATGTGTTGGAATTAATGAGACTGGCTCAGGACTGGAAAGGGTTCAGAGCTGCTGTACATAGGATTGCTATAGTTGCAGGCAACTCCATGGCACTTAACAACAATAACATACTCTATTGGTTGTTTTTTATTTAATCCTCTTGTTTAGAGTCAACCAGACCACAGGGAGGGCCTTTGGATTTAAAAGTCAGTTGTTATTATATTTTTGAGAAACATTCTTTCTAAGTGGTACAGCACTCTTCTGTCCGTTTGCTGTACTGAGGTAACTCGGGGTTGCTGTGATGCTGAACTTTGTGCTTTCGGGGTGTCACATATCATAACGGCTACCCCAGGTGGACAGTGTTTGGTGGAGCTCCCAGTTTAAGATAGGTTTGGAAGCAGGAGTGGCATCCACTTTCTAAACCACATGCTTCTGGAAACGCTATGAACTTGGAGAAATGACGATAGTTATAGTAAGGCTTCAGATCTTCTTTTCATACAGTTGTTATGAGTTGTGCTCGACTCGACGGCAATCCACAACAACCATTAACAGAGACTTGGAGTCCCAAGAAGTCACAAATGGTTAAATGCTCCACTACTGTAGTTTTCTCATGTAACTCTCCCTCCTCTCCAACCTGCACAGTGCTCATATTAAACTACACACAGAGGAGATAATATGGTTTGGGGGTTTGGGCTGTTTTGTTTTTGTTGGTTGTTTTTTTTTTAAAGATATAGGATATGTGTGTTGTTGTTAGGTGACGTCGAGTCAAGTACGACTCATAGCGACCCTCTGAATAACAGCTCTGAACCCTGTCCTGTCCTGTGCCATCCTCACACTTCCTGACACACCAGAGCCCACGGCAGCTGTCACTGTGTCAGTCCACCTGGTCGAGGGTCTTCCTCTCCCTCGCCAGCCCCCTGCCTTTCTGAACATCACGTCCCTGTCCAAGGAGCAGCCCCTCCTAGCAACATGCCCGAAGTATGTGAGGTGAAGCTTTATCATCTTTGCCTCCAAGGAATACTCTGGCTGCATTTCATCCCAGACATATTTAGTTGTTCTTTTAGCAGACCATGGGACGGAGATGCAGTACTCTTTTAAAGCACCACTGTGTGTTATATGCATAAAACTGTGATGTTAATTGAAAGCTGAGGGTTCAGATACATCCAGAGGCACCTTGAAAAACAATTCTTTCTGTCTTGAAAACCCTGTTAAGCTTTGCACACGTGGTGTTCACATGAGTTAGACTTGACTCTATGGCTTCTAGCAACAATTAAGGTTCAGCATCCATTCAATAATAACTTCTTTTATTCCTCTTTACTATCCCTGGTAACTGGTAGTATTATCTGATCAGTAGACAATTACCTAATCTAGATGTCTCATATAAATAGCATCTGACAGTGTTTGTCCTTTTGTGACTTATTCTTCTTGATTTTTTTTTACAATAAATTTTTTATTTTAATCATTTTTTTAAATTAATTTTAATGAAAATTTACAGAGGCTTTGCATTTCCATTCATTCATTATTGCACTTTTCTCCCTGCCCACCCCTCCCCTCCAGTACACTTTTCTCTTTGAAAAGTAAAAGAAAATTTTTTCATTGTCTTACAATCCCTCCCCCCAGGTCCACTCCACTATGCAGCCTTCATTCTGGACTCCTGTCATGACAATAATACCTAATCACATATCCATTTTAAACAGTTTTCTCCCTCATCTGTTTCAACGCAGTATACATAATTTATCTCATCTTTTTCAGTCTCCCCCCAACCCCGAGGTCAGTCCTGTTTTACAACAGTGGCACCATGCAGTATTTATCCTTTTGTGACTGAGATATTTCACTCAGCATAATGTACTCCAGGGTCACCCATTCATTCGTTGTTGTATATTATCCTCCTTAACTACCTCCGATGTTAGCTTTGCTCTTTGAAAAAAGAATATTTCATTGTTGCACAGTTCCCCCCACCACGTTCATTTGTTGATGGTCCACTTTATGTTGTCAATGTTTCTTTTTTAAAAAAAATTTTTTTTTATTATTATTTTTTATGTGTGTACCGTCAAATCGGATTTGACTGGTACAGGAAGGGATTGTCCCTCCTTCTCCAGCAGAGCATCTGGTGGATTTGAACCACACACCTCTGGGATTGCAGTGCAGCTTCTTGCCACTAGGCCACCAGAGCTCGCACCATTGTCAACGTTTTTCCTTGTCTTCATATACACCAGAACTTCCCTTCTCTTTACGACTGAATCACGTGCCATTCTACAGATAGACCACATTTTATTGATCCGTTTTGGCTGTTTTACGAACACTGTACAAATCATCCATCTGTATTCCTGCTTTCAAGTATTCTGGGTGTATTCCTTGGAATAAACCACTAGGTCATGAGTTCATTTGGTTTACCTTTTTGAGCAACTGCCAAACTTTTCCACAGAACTATTTTGCATTTGTAGCCGGAAGGGATGAGGGTTTCAGTTCCTCCACATTCTCGCCAGCACTTGTCTTCCATTTTTCCGATCCACACCCATTGTGGCAGAAGTGAAATGGCATCTCATTGTGGTTTTAATTTGCAATTTTTTTTCCTCCCCATATATTTTCCAAGGGGAGATAGTAATCTTGTCTCCCTAAGGTTGTTGGAGAACTAAATGGGAATATGGACAAGGGTGCTGTTCAAGAGAAGGTGCTTGACTGGGGTATTAAAAAATTGAACGGCAGGGCGTGGTACCACTCAGTCAGAATGGATGCTGGAAACCCAAGTTAAGCTGTCTCTTTCCGCTCAGGCCTGACATCATGACGGTCCTTGGGAAGGCTGGGGCAGCTGGGTGGTACGTTTTTATCAGAAGTGCAGGGTTATTGTGATATCATTGGGGAAGTGGGTTTCCGTTGAGCGTTTGTCCTTTTCTTCATAACCATGAACCTCAGAGGCTATTTGTGAACACCAAGGTTCTCAGGAACTGGCCCCCTTCCCTAAATGAAAGTTTTAAAAAAGAGGATGTTTGTTAGATGTCCCATAGCCCAGAGAAGGGAAAGAATGCTGACTGCCTCCATTTTTCTGCACAGTTCACTCTGGCCACTGAATGCTTTCAGCTGGGCTACTCAGCAGATGGCCACTGCAAGGGGCATCCTGACCCCACACTGCCCCAACCCCAGCGGCTGTACTGGGACCTTCCGGAGAAGGTGAGGCCCAGCCTCGGAGCCCCTCTTTCTCTATCTCAGAAATCCTAGTTCCAACGTCAAACTCAGTCCCCAAGCTTAACACCAAAAAACTAGCCACATTATTAATGCCAAGCTCATCCCTAAACCCACGCCCGTTCCCATCCCATTCCAGACCCAACACCAGTTCAACCTCATTTCCAACCCCAATCCCATCTGCAACCCCGATCCGCTTTTCACTTGTTACTCCGTCCCCAAATCCATCTCCATCCCCAATCTCAAACTCAACTTCTTTCCCATTTCAGCTCCAACCCCAATCCCACCCTCGCTTCAAAGTCATCTCTATCCCAAATCCATCTCTGCCATTACGCCTAAATTCAAGTCTATTCACAACCACAGTCCCATCCAGACTCATCTGTAACTCAGTGTCCTGACCCAGCCTTATTCTCAGTCCCATTCCTGGCCCTGTTTCTGAGCTAATCTTATTCCCATCTCCATGCTCATCTCCAACCCCATCTGTACCCTCACTTTACCTGGAGCCAACCCTCAGTCCCATTCTTCTCTTCGTTAGCATTCCTGTCACCCCCCCTTTTTATTTTTTATTATTAATTATAATGAAGTTTACAGAGACTTTGGATTTTCAGTGATTCATTGTTGCACTTTTCTCCCTGCCCACCGTCTCCCCTCTAGTTCACTCTTCTTTTCGAAAAGTAAAAGAAATATTCTTTCATTGTTAAGCAATCCCTCCCCCCAAGTCCACTCCACTACGCAGCCTCGTTCTGGACTCCTGTCATGACAATAATACCTAATCGTCTATTTCTTTTAAAGAGTTCTCTCCCTCATCTGTTTCAATGCAGTATACATAATTTATCCCGTTTCTCAGTCTCCCGCCAATCCCTATGTCAGTCCTGTTTTACAACAGTGGCATTAGGCAGTATTTGTTCTTTTGTGACTGAGATACTTCACTCAGCATAATGTCTTCCAGGGTCACCCATGTTGTATAATATTTCATGAGTTCCTTGTTTTTCAATGCAGAGTAGTATTCCATAGCTTCTCTATCCACACCATCTCCCTTTTAAACTTAGTCCCTCTGTTCCATCCTTCTTTTGGGCCCGACTTCTGAATGCCACTCCAACTCTAACTTCACCTCAGTCTCCACTTCCAGCCCTGCTCCTGACTCTAACCCTGCCCTCACCCTTAATACCGTTCTGTTCTCTCTCCCTCTCTGGCAGATCCATCCGTCCATCTCTCTAGCTCTGATGGGAGCCAAGACTTTGTCAGGAAACATTGACTGTCACGTCTTGCCTTTTTCCCACTTTGGCAAAAGCTTCATCAAACGTTGCTATCTTTCTCCAGACAGTTTCATCCAGGTGGCCTTGCAGCTGGCCCACTTCCGGGTCAGTGCAGTTCCCCAATCCCCTCTTAGGAGGTCAGTCTCTCTGAGCCCCAAGACCTAACCCTTCAGCTCCCTGACCAACATGCAAAAGACGCATGTTGGTGGTTGACGCTGGGGGTCATGATTCTCTCTCCTAACCGTGCACTCCTGGGTGGGAGGAGGCTGGGGCTCCAGACCGAAGTGCTTCACATCTGTGAAGACCCCCTGACAGGCCTCTCTCCTCCTTGTCCCCCAGGACAGCGGTCAGTTCTGCCTGACTTATGAGTCGGTCATGACGCGCTTGTTTCTGGAAGGCCGGACGGAGACGGTGCGGTCTTGCACGAGGGAGGCCTGCAACTTTGTGAGAGCCATGGAGGATGACACGAAGACGGTGGGTGTGAGCCTCCTTGGAGGCTCCAATTCTTTCTGTTTACACACACCTACACTGGCAAGCATTTATGGGGTGCTTACTGAGTGCCAGGCCCATGATGGGCAAGGGAGAGACCGAGTTTGTATAATAAAGTGTGAAATGGACATTAGTGGAGTTAAGCACAGAGAACATGATTCCCTGGGTGTGGCAAATGGTTGGTGCAATCAGTTGGTTACAGAAAGGTTGGAGGTTCAAGTCCACCCAGAAGTGCCTTAGATGAAAATCTAGGTCTACTACTGCAAAATCAGCCATGGAGAACCCTGGGGGACGTATTTTACTGTGACACAGAAATAGGGGCGTCTGTGAGTCAAAATGCATTTGATGGCTCCTGGTTTTTATCTGGCACCACCGAGGAGGGGCACTGACCAGGAGTCATTTCCACCATAATAGTGCTTGCCCTCTGATTATTAATAAACCTCTAAGTGACCACACTTTGCACCAGTTCTCATGTGCCCTCCAACTTCTCTGCCCTGGACCCCTCCAGGGCTTTAACCCCTGACCCCCAGGCACCTCTGTCTGTTCCTGATAATCTCACCTCGTGGTTTGATGGAAGAGGTTCGGGTTCAGGGGTCAAACAGGCATGGGATCTCACCGCCGCTCTGTCTCACTGTGGGGCCTTGAGAAATGTAACTTCTTTTCCCTAAGCCTCAGTTTCCCGTGTGTCCAATGATGTCCACATCCTCAGCAGGGATGTTACAGGAGGATGGATTGAGGACAGGTGTGAGTCAGGCTCTGGCACCCCACGTTCTGCCCCTCTGTGACCTCTGACCTCCCTGTGGACCCCAGGACCCTCAGTGCCTCGCCTTGTTACGCGTGGCGGTGGACAAGCACCAGGCCCTGATGAAGGCGGCGATGACCGGGCAGGGGGTCGACCGGCACCTCTTCGCACTGTACATCGTGTCGCGGTTCCTTCGCCTCCAGTCGCCTTTCCTGGCTCAGGTTGGGGTTAGGCGGTGAGGGTGGAAGTGGAGGGTCCGAGGGGGAATCAAGTAATCACCACTGGAGAGGGGAAGAAATTCCAGGTCTGGAGGAAACTGTTGGGAAAGGGCAGAGAAGTCTGAAGAAAGAGGGGAGAGGTATGGTCAGAGGAGAGGGTGGTACCCAGGGAGGAGGCTGTGAGAGGGGCGTGACCAAAGAGAAGGGTGTGACCAGAGGAAGAGAAGGGGTCCAGCGAGGAAGGAACATGAGAGGGGCGTGGTCAATGAGATGAAGACAAGAAGGGCGTGGTCAGATGATCCACCAGGCCAGGGAGGAGTCTATAAGAGCGGGGATGACCAAAGAGGAGGGTGTGGCCAGAAAGGGGTGGGGCGAGGAATGGAAGGGAGAGGGGTGTGGCCAGTGAGATAGGAGATGGACAAGTGTAGCCAGGGAGGAGCCTGTGTGAGGGGCGTGTCCACAGGGAAGGGCATTGCCCAGTGAGGTGATGGATAGGCATGACCCCCCCAGAGGGCGTGGCCAGGGAGGAGTCTGCTAGCGGGGCGTGTCCAATGAGAAGGGAGACGGGGAGGGGCGTGACCAGTGAGATGATGGATGGGCGTGTGCAGATGAGAGGGCGTGACCAGGGAGGAGTCTGAGCAGGGCGTGTCCATAGAGAAGGGCGTGACCAGTGAGATGCTAGAAAGGGGCGTGGTCAATTTCTCAGGGGGCGTGACCAGGGTGTAATCTGTAAGAAGAACCTTGGTCCAAGGAGAAAGGATGGAAAAGGAGGGGCCTGGCCTGGGGGAAAAGGGGAAGGGCGTGGCCAGAGGAGGACAAGGTATGGAGATTAAAGAGAAGAGGAGCAGATTTAGGCGAAATTGCCAGTCAGATGCAGCAGAGGCTGCTCTGCATGGAGTTGAGCCACATAAGTGCAGACCTGTTAGTCCGTTCTCTTTCGAACACACCTGATCTTGGCCTCAGGTTCACTCGGAGCAGTGGCAGCTGGCCACCAGCCAGATCCCTGTTCAGCAAATGCACCTGTTTGACATCCACAGCTCCCCGGACTACGTCTCTTCTGGGGGTGGATTCGGACCTGTGAGTCCAGCTGGGGCCTTGGAACCGTGGGTTGGAGGGAGGAGGGAGCTGACGGCCTGGCCTCCTGAGGCTGCAGGAAGAGGAGGGCTGGCGCCCCGGACGCTAGGGTCATGAGGGGGAGGGAGACTGTCCAGGTTCTTTCTCCACTCCAGGCTGATGACCATGGTTATGGCGTTTCTTACATCTTCATGGGGGAAGACATGATCACCTTCCACATCTCCAGCAAAAAATCAAGCACAAAAACGGTGAGCTGAACTTGGCCATAAATTGTCAGGCTGGTCCCTCAGACCCAGAAAGTCAGGACACCCCACCCTCTCATTTCTCAGGCCTCGGGAGTCCCACCCTCAGATTCTCTTGACCAGAGACGTTTCCCCACTGCAGGACTCCCACCGGCTGGGGCAGCATATTGAAGATGCCTTGTTGGACGTGGCCTCCCTGTTCCAGGCTGGACAGGGTCTTAGGCCCAGGCGCAGAGGGTTGAGGGAGAAAGACTCAGGGCACAAGTATGGATCCCTCTCCAGCCAGACTCAGAGCTTTGGGACACCCACAGCGTCCAACGACTTCTGACCCTTTCTACCAGGGAGCTGGTCTCCCTCGGAAACCAGGGTGAGGCGCTGGGGCTGGGTGAGTGTCTGGAAATCCCACATCCGGGCCAATAAAGATGTGTGAGTTGGGTGTGCGCTGTTTGCGATATTCTTGGGCTGAGTAGGGGTGGGAGAGATGAAGATCAGAGTGGAAAAGTTTTCATCCACCGGTGAGCTTTGTTGACCTAGTGGAAAGAAGCTGTGCTGCAATCCCAGAGCTGCACGGTTTGAATCCACTAGATTCTCTGTTGAAGGAGGGACAATCTCCTCCTGTACCAGTCAGATCTGATTTGACGGTACACACACACACACACACACACACACACACATACAAAAAAAGTAAAAATAAAAAAGTTTTCATCCCCCAGTAGCCACAGCTACATTGTCAACTGTAATCACCAGCTCAATGCACATTCCCCAATACCAGCCTAGTTTACCCCATGACCAACGCCAGGCATGTAAACCCAACTATCCCAGGCTGATCCCAACTGAGGAAGTCCACAAGCTCTCGTTAGCCCGATTCCAGAACATTATTGAAGCCATCAGAGAAGTGAGGAGTGCCCTGGGAAGAATGGGTGATGTCAAAACTGTTAAAAAGATTGGAAAGATGAAGTATGCCTTCCTGAGATCTTGGTCTCATAGCAACCAGCCTTGGGCTGACGCAGTAGCTGATAATTCTCCCCACTTATGGAGTCAGAAGAGGTCATTTTTGTGCCACCCCATCTCCAAATCCAAAGATACAAGGCCATGCGCGCCAGCTCCATTGACACGCAACACCCACATCCACTCGAATTCTTACCATCCAATTTCAATCCCAACCATTTCAGTCTCCACTTCAGAAATAGATTCAACTCTCATGATTGTTCTGACCACTTCCATGATGTCACAAATCAACCAACCCTGCAGTGCTAAACAAGTCAAACTCAATTAGTACCTTACAACCAATACAAAAATCCCAAACAGCTCCCCCATCCCATCTCTCCTCCCAGTTTTGACTCATTGCATCTCCCTTGACAGGGGTGAACTGCCTCACAGAGTGTAATCTTTGGAGTGGTAGATTGCTGCATCTTTCTCCCAAGGAGTTTCTGGATAGGTTCAAACCATCAGTTAACAGTTGAGTGCATAAAATAAAGGCATCACAAGGGCTTCTTATTTCTGTCATAACCCTGCTTTTTACTTGATCCATAGTTGACTTATTTTTTTATTTAAATAGCATGCAGTTTATGATAAATATTTAGTATTGGCTTCCTGTATTCCCCCCTTTTGTTTTATAATTATGTTATCATATAGATGAGCGATCCATAGTTGACTTTTAAGCAACACACTCTTACTTGAAGTTTCAAGTGTTTTGTGATCACGGGTCACAGAAAATAGAGACTCACGAGGGATGATTAAGTCCGAAGGCTAAAAGCTCCATCAGGCAAAAAGCAAGTTGGAGATGTCCTGTCCTCTCTCTTATTACAGAAGCGAGGATAGCATACATAAAGAAACTCATGTAAACTTTTTTCAGGGTAAAGAAAAACCAAGAAACTTTTTTTTCCTTTTAGACATTTTAAGCTTTTATTATTATTATTTTTAATGAATGTTTACAGAGACTTTGGATTTCTATTCATTTGTTGTTGCACACTTTCCTCCCTGCCCACTCGTCCCCCCAGTTCATTCTTCTCTTTGAAATGCAAGAGAAAAATTCCTTCATTATTATACAATCTCCCCCCTCCCCAGTCCACTCCACTATGCAGCCTTCATTCTGGACTCCTGTCATGACAATAATATCTAATCATATATTGTTTTTAAACAGTTCTCTCCCTCATCTGTTTCAATGCAGTGTACATAATTTATCCTATCCTTCTCAGTCTCCCCCCAATGCCGACATCAGTCCCATTTTACAACAGTGGCCCTATGAAGTATTTGTCCTTTTGTGAGTGAGATATTTCACTCAGCATAATGTCCTCCAGGGTCACCGATTTTGTATAATATTGCATGAGTTTATTGTTTTTCAGTGCTGCATAGTATTCTATTGTGTGAATATACCAGAGCTTCTCTATCCATTCGTTTGTTGAAGGGCACTTGGGTTGTTTCCAGCTCTTTGCTATTGTGAACTAAGCAGGGTGTTATGCACACGTGGGTGTGCATAACAGGAAATATTCTTTTTTTTCATTTTATTATTTTTTTGTGAGTGTACCGTCAAATTAGATCTGACTGGTACAAGAGGAGATTGTCCCTCCTTCCCCGGCAGAGCATCTGGTGGATTCGAACCGTGCACCTCTGGGATTGTAGTTGCAGCTCCTTACCACTAGGCCACCAGAGCTTCCCAGGAAACATTCTTATTGAAGTAAATTATCATTTACTCAAGGATCTGTGTTCTTTATCTCAAGAAAGCAAATGGGTAAGTAAATTGGATAATGTGAAGTGTTCAGGGCAAGTGCTGAGGCTGCTTGCAACCCCCCACATTCCAGGAGATCTTGTTAGCAAAAACTCCTCCGGTGTATTTAACCCCTGAGGGTAAGTGACTCAAAAGAATGCTGACACGGAGCAGCTTTTAGAACTAGATTTGGGCTGTTTTCAGCCCTGACCTTCCTAAGGGTCCCTCCTTTTCAAGAATCTCAGGTGTTCCTGGAACATTTCCTTGGACAGCAGACTTCTTATTGCTCCTAACCCTTCAGGGATCCTTCACTACTCTACCTGTTATCTACTGAACTATCAATGCAACGGGGGTCACTTGTAGTTGTGTCAATTGCCTTCAAGTCGACTCATAGCAACCCTATGAACAAAAGGCCTGAAGCCTTTCTGTAACTGTCAACACTTCTCAAAGTTCACAGAGTCGTTTAGGATGTTTAGGCATGTTGTTTAGGAAGTGGATGCCACTCCTGCTGCCACTAGCCCAAGAAATAGTAACACATGTTAATAGTGCCATTGAACCACACCAGAATCATTGTCATTAAACCCATGTTCCAGCCTGCATTACTTCCACCAAGTCAAGTGTAATGAATTCCACCCAAGAATTCCACCTAAACACTTCAGCCTCCACGTAAAATTAGTTTCCGAGAGTTGTCGGCTCTCTATCCTCTTGTTTGTAGAGGCCTCTGGCCTCTAACTTCATGAAGAAGCAGCTCACCTTCAGCCCAAAGCTGATTTCTGTGACGTGAAGGTCAGATGCATCTTCTTTCTCCAAATTTTCCACCAGTTCTGACACTAGCCATTTCTCCCATGGCGCTCTCTGTGCTTCTTATGCGTTTGATAGTTAACAGAAAAAGCCTACGCAGAACTCCAGGGATCATACTTAGAGTTACGAGGTTTATTCAAGAAGTCACAGGTTACAGCTCACGATCAGGAACACTCAGTATCCAATTCTTCACTCAGAATAGTTTCTTTTCACTTGTGTCCACAGGCAGATACCTCTCTGATTCTCAGCCTCTTGAGCCCTCAGTTTCTCCATCTGGTAGCCCTGCTTCTGCTGTGCTTGGCCAAGTGTTACAAAGCTCTCATTCCTCCAGTAACTGCCCACAGACAGCCTATGTTAGTTAAGCCTAAGCCTGGGGACACTCAGCTGTCCATTCCTCCATCAGTGGGTTTAGACATCAAATGCCTGGAGGCACACCACTCCACCAGCCAGCCTGCTGCCCTAGGCAATCTACTCTCTTTTTTAAAATTAAATTTTATTAATTTTAATGAACATTTACAGAGATTTTGGGTTTCCATTCATTCATTGTTGCACTATTTTCTCTACCCTCCTCCCAAGTTCGTTCTTCTTTTCCCCCCCTTGAAAGTCTGTTTTAATTGTCCAGTTGCCACAGTGCTTGTCAAAGCCAGTTCTGATTAATCTCTTTTGTCAGTGTGTCTTTTGCCATTCCCTATCACTCCTCCCTGAGAGGGACTTCACCCTGATTCATAAGGAAAAGGGGACGGCGTATTCTCTTAGCTACTTCCTGCTGGAAAGGGACGCTGCAGGTTTCAGGGTGAAGATCTCTCACTACTCTAAAGGGCCCCTTTGGCAGTAGGAAACACATAGACTATTATGGAGATTGATTTTGGAATTTAGATGCACTGTTATCAATTGTGCTTAGCCGTACATGTTCATATCCTTGAAGATGTAACATGGAAATGTTGCAGCCTAGAAGATACAAATTTAACTAACAAGTTAAAAGTACATGAGTCAAAAATTGAAAAGCACTAATATTCCAGGTAGAGGCTCTAATAGTGGCACCAATCAAGTTACAGAGGGAAGTTAGTTCTTACAATAAAAGGCCTATTGACTAGCACTTTGTCTATTATAGTATAAAGGTTAGGAATCACAAGATGTAGAGGTTCAACTATGTCATTTATTGTTCTTAAGTCCTGGAGCAAATTTCATCTACCACTGGGTTGTTTTACAACTCGGAAGTCCGTATGCAAGGCGGAGGTGACGTAAGGAACTGATGATGAGGTTTTCCGTCAATTCCAACTTAGTGAGAGAGTTAGGACCTCAGAAGGCTTTTAGGACCAGATAGTAGGCTCTGTGTCCAGGAGAAAACGAATATACTTACCAGTTATGTTAATGCTCACCCACAGCTCTTCTGGGAGGATCTAAATCGTTGAAGCAATCTACTCTCTTAACTCCATGGGCTGGGAAGCCCACCTCACTCTCCCCTGATGGGATTCTGCTGCTGCTGCTGCCTTTTCTCAGTCTCTACTTTCTTTCTTTATTTTATTATTTTTTAAAATGAAAGTTTACAGAGACTTAGGGTTTCCAGTCATTTCATTGTTGCATGCTTTCCTCTCTGCCAACCCTTTGCCCCAGTTCACTTTTCTCTTTGAAAAGTAAAAAAA